AGAGGAGCTAAATCGCTGAATCAGCCGCACGCTCTTCTTTGCCTCCTCCTTCGTCAGCCCTGCCGCGTGCATGAAGCTTCCGCTAGCATGCACGCTCCCCGCGCTCCCCCGCTGCTCCAGCACCGACACCTCCCTCATCGCCTCCCCCAGCAGGTGCAGACGCGTCTGCTTCCTCCCCAGCACCCCCGCCGCCACCTTCCCCACCGTCATCCCGATCCGGCACGAGCACGGCCATGCTGAGCTCTTCCTGCACCTCGCGAACTTCCCGATCATCTCCCGCGCGCACGTCAGCAGCTTCAGGCAGATCCCCCGCGTCCTCCGCTTGCTCTGCACGTCGCTGCCTTCCTCCAGCCATCCCGCCACGATGTAGGCGTCGCCGATGGTGTCGATCTTGAGGAGGTTGTGCTCGACGACGAGCTGGTCGAAGAAAGCGAACATCTCGTGCACGAACTTGGCCAGCTTCATCGGAGAAGTGCTCTGAGACATGTCGGTGAAGTTGCAGATGTCCAGCTGCAGGATCACCGCTGTCTTCATCTCTCCCTGTGTCGTGATCGGATCTCGAAGGAGCTTGTCCGCAATCTGCTTCGTCAGCATCTCCTTGAGGATACTCTCCAGCAGGTCCGCCTCGATCTTCCGCAGCTTGTAGTACTGCATCCGAGCATGCTCCGTGAACTGCAGCGCCGACAACTTCCTCTTCGCCATTCCCCAGATCCACCCTAACGACATCGCCGCTCCCAGGCTCGCATGCTGCCCTCCCCCAACCAGCACAACCAGCGCCAGCATCCCCATCCCCGTCCCCATCGCCGCCCCGATGTCTCGCACGCTGTTGGAGAAGAGCAGGGAAGAGATGAAGAGCAAGATCGCGCTCGTCACAGCAAACAGCTCGTCCCCGCTCACTCGCCTCGCCATCAGCATCCACACCAGCGCCCCCCCGACGTTCATCGCCAGCACGCTGCCCTTGAGACGGTTGCACCTGTCAAGAAACTTCCGCATGTACCCCAGCAGGAAGAACACGTACGCCATGATCAGCAGAGTCTGCGCCAGCGCCATCACAGTCAGCGACAGCCGCATCTTCCCGTCCAGCCCCGTCCTGTCGCTCTCCATGCTCCTCACGTGCTTGATCGGCAGCAGCAGCAGCAGCATCTCGTGCGGGACGATGCGAGTGAGGAAGTTCATCAAGTGGTCCTTGGCCTGCGACAGCTGCAGCGACGGCGACAGGTGCATCTTGTCCCCTCCCCCTCTCCACCTCCTCCCGTCGTCCTCCTGCCTCCGGCTGCACAGCGACAGCAGCGGGAAACCCTTGCTCTCCTCCTGCTCCTCCTCCACCTCGAACGTCAGCATGTTCCCCTTCCCCTTGATCGACCTCAGCCCCATCGACCGGAACCTCAGCTCGCACTGCCCGCCCTTGAAGCTCTCCCTGAACGCTTCTGTGCACAAGATCGTGTTCGGAGCCGCGTACTTGCACATCCGAGACGCCGTGTTGGTCGTGTCCCCGTACACGCTGTAGTAGGCGCGGTGCGACCCCACCACAGCTCCAGCTGCCCGCCCTCGATGAATCCCCACCTGAAGCGCTAGGGGGCAGTCGTGGACCTTGTAGCTGTTGGTGATGGTGATCAGCTCTCGAGCCAGCTTCACCATCCTCTCGCAGTACTCCACGGGGTAGGGAGAGCTCTGCTCCAGCTCGTCGAAGGGGTTCGCAGCCCGAGGGCAGGTCACGATGTACCACTCAGACACGTGCTGACAGGTGTACATGCCGTGCTTCTCCACCACCTCGTCAAACCTGCGGAAGATCTCATCCAGCATGCTGAAGAGCTCCAGCGGCTCGTTGTTGTGAAGCACCTCCTGAGGAGACAGAGCGCAGAAGAGGATCGAGCAGTCTGCGATCTCTGCCCCCATGAACTTGTTGATGTCGCTCTCATATGTCATCTTGCTCAGTACGCTCTCCGGGATCAGAGAGTGTACGATCTCCAGGTGCTGGTTCGCTACCTCCACCGCTGCCACAGCGTCCGCCAGCTTCTCCTCCTCCTTCTTGTACCTCGCCACACACCCATGAAGCTCGCTGATCCCCATCACGATGTAGCTCAGGATGCAGAGCCACCAGCACACGACGACGCTGGTGGAAGGAGCCTTGGGTACCCAAAGCTCGAAGAGCAGGAGAGGGAGGAAGTACACGCACCGAGGGGGAGGGAGCAAGGAGTCCAGCCAGGTCGACGTGCTGCGAAGGAGGTGGGTATCGAGATTGCTGGAGAAGAAGGAGGCAAAGGCTGTATACAAGGGCCTGACAAGAACAGTGGCGGCACCGCTCAAGTAGAGCAAGACTATAGGGAGCAGAGGAGGGAAGACTTCGACCGGCGATGCTATGTTGCTCTGATCGAAGTTTGCTCGAGGAGGTGTTTTCGTGGCTGCATAACATCCAGATGTATTCGGCTCATGACTGGACGAAACATTGAGCCTCATGGCAATTTGTGTTCTTTCACCGAATCCCACCTTTCCAACAACAAAAAGTCAGGGAGAAGAACAAGTTCGAAGGTTGCATATTGTATTTGTGTTGAGCCTATATATATTCGAAAATGGCCCCCCCCTCCTCATATTTTGACGCCTTGAGATGAAACGCACTTTCCCTCACACCTTCGTTGCAACATTCCTTGCAACGAATGCCTTCATAACACGAACATTCCTTTCCTCTTCACTAATTTCCCCTCATTCTGACTATCTTCTCTGCTCTCCTATTACTAACATCAGTTCTTCCCTTCCCTTCCCTTCCCTTCCCTTCTCCTCTATCTCTTCTCCTCTCCCCTCCTCCCGTCTCCGTTTCCATATCTACTTGTAAGCATCTACTCGGGGAATTCTACTACCCTACCCTTTCGTATCCCACACTTCCGCCCCCACCCCCACCCCTGCCACCCCAACGCCTTGCAATGTTCACTTGTTATAGCTATTTCGGACCTACCACCCCAAGTGCAACTTTTGACCCCGCACACCATCCCTTCACCCCATAAATTTATGTACAAGGGTAGGGTACTGAAATACCCTACCCTTGTACATAATTCACCCTAAACGACGGTACCCCTGTTGTGTACAAGATCCGTGCACCAAATGCAATAATGTACCCAGACCACCCCCTTATCAATCTCCCCCCATCACCCCACCCTATGTGAACGACTGTGATTTTGGTATCCAGTACCGACCCTACTCACATCATGACCCCCTTTTTTAACTGCTTCTACCCCCTCCAACCCAATGGAACCGGAACAGTGCCTCATTATAAATTCCCACAATTAGCTACGATTTATATATAATCCTCCTCGTTCTTCTATAAATAGTCATAATTATATGCAAGTGCCCCGAAGAGGATGTCAGCAGTCACGTTACTAGCAGCCTCTCGTGACCACTCGCGCCGAGAGCCATGCTTGTAGTAAAGTGACCAGGGGTCGGTATCTCGATCTCGGGACTACCCCCACCTACCTCTTTCCCTGCCACCACCCCCTACATATGCTGTACATGATTGCCCCTCACTGTCCACCTAGCTGCTGAGATAACGCAGGCTCTGGCTGAATGAGCCCCCGACACCGGGACAACCCCGGGCTCCCGCCGGGCCGGGCCCGGTCCCGACCCGGCCACTCACTGGCCACCGGGCCGGACCCCCGCGTGCCTCGGACCGTGGGGCCGGGCCCCCGGTGACCGGACGGTGGCTGCCTGGCGGCCGCCCGGCCTGTCATAATCAGTGATCTTTTTACTCCAAGTTAAGTTAAAAATCTGTACGAGGACAATCAGGACTACGGTCACTGAAGGACTCTCAGGCTTGACCCTGAGTGACTACCGTACATTTTTGTCCTCCGACTCACCTGATTGTCCTTGTACTGATCTTGAACACTACTGAGGCCTGAGTCACTGAGTTCTAGCGCGCACTACTCAGTCGGACCGTCTCCCGGGGTGCCGCTGGCTGAGCTCAACTTCTTTACTCAAAGTTAAGTTAAAGACTCTGATCAGTACGAGGACCGTGCAGCCACAGTGTTGAATCAGGAGCCTGAGGCTAGCCTCACGACCGTTGGAAGTCGTTTAGTGACCGTTTTCCTCGCTGCTGAAACCGTTACGTCAGACAGCACGTGAAGCTTTCAATGGTGAAAGGGGGAGGAGGAGGAGGAGGAGGAGGAGGAGGAGGAGCAGTAGGAGTAAAATTTGATAAAACCAACAAGTTCAAGAAGGAGCAAGCAGAGGGAGTGGGGAAGAAGGCAGGGGATGGTGAAGATGTGCGGGCGAAGAAGAAAAGAAAACCTAACCTGCGAGATCGAATCCGAAGGAGAAAATTGATGGCAGCAAGGAAAGGAGGAGGCGGAGGGGGGACAGGGACAGGACCAGGACCAGGAGGAGAAGCAGCAAGAGGATCAAAAGCAGGAGCAGGAGCAGGAGCAGGAGCAGGAGGGCTCAAACGAACAAAGGAAGCAAAGAAAGCAATCGGGGGTGCGGAGGAACCTGGTGGGAGAGACAACGGACCGCAGACGTCGCCTGGAGGCCAAAAGAACAACAAGAGGAAGCGGAACAGCAAGAAGAGCTCTCCGGTCCAGGTATGACAGCACCGCCCTGATGGGTCAGCAACTTATGGAATGGTACATTCCGTGCAGGCGGTGAACAAGGAGCAGGGCGCAGTGCGACCCGAGGGCCGGAGTTCCTCAGCCCCAGCGAAGAAGAAGGCTCGGACGGGGGATGAAAGTATCGTAAGAGATCGACAGCATCCTCCTCGTCCTCCTCCTCCTCTCCCCAAGCCGAAGATTGAGCATGCCGACAAGCAGACCAAGTTGTCAGTGCTCAAGAGCCTCCTGCACTCCAGAGCAACAGGGGGGCAAGTCGTGAGCTCGGAGGGGGTCGTGAAGGAGGAGAGACAGCGAGAGAGCTCTCCTGCCGTCTCAGTGAGCTCCTCTTGTCATTCAGATGGCAACAGCAAGAAAGACAAGATGAAGCAGATTGTGAGCTCGAACTGGCTTGCACTGTAAGAATTTTGGAGGAGGAGGAGGAGGAGGAGGAGGAGGAGGAGGAGGAGGAGGAGGAGGAGGAGGAGGAGGAGGAGGAAGGTCTGACTTGCGGTGTTGGATCGATCAGGAAGAAGAACATGAAGGACATAAAGAAGCAACAGAAGAAGCAGAAGAAGAAGAGGAAGGCGAAGGGAGATGAGGATGAGGACGATGAGGATGAGGAGGAGACTGGAACCAGCAACTCTTACTTGCCAAGAGGAAAGGTTGCTGGGACTGAACCAGGAAGAATCTTTCCATCGGGAGACTTGTCGAGATTTGTTGCACCTTTGGCAATCGATTGTGAGTGATTGCTAGAAGTTGAGAGGAGGAGGAGGAGGAGGAGGAGGAGGAGGAGGGGACACGTTTGAAGAAGGAGGGAGGAGGTGGGGAAGGAACGTGTGTGATTGAGATTTGAAGGTGAGATGGTTGGAGTTGGGGACAAGGGGAAGCGATCTGCTCTTGCTCGCGTCTCTATCGGTGAGTGTCGAAAAGAGAGGAGAATAGAACAATGACAGGGACGATGATGATGATGATGGTGTTGGTGTTGGTGTTGGTGTTGGTGTTGGTGGTGGCGATGATGATGATGGTGATGACGATGGCGATGGTGATGATGATGGAGATGGAGATGATGATGATGATGACGACGACGACGACGATGGAGCTTCGATAGAGATGATGATAGAAATGACGGTGACAATGACGCAGTTGACGGAAATGGGGATGCTGTGCTAGACACTTTTGTTGCGCCCCAGGAGAAAGTGACTGACTATCGTACTATGGTGAGATACAATCATAGATGTCAATTTGACAAACTGATTGTTATTTGTCCTGCCCCTCGCTGCTGCTGCTGCTGCTTTTTCTTACCTTTTCCTTTTTCAGTTTTCTGGTGTAAGACCAAAAGACTTGAAAGATGCTCCCAAGTTTGCTGTCGTTCAGAAACTTGTGTCAGAGGTATGAATTCACTCCTCCCTCCTCCCTCCTCCCTCCTCCCTCCTCCCTCCTCCCTCTTCCTCCTCCCTCTTCCTCCTGCTCTTACTCCCTTTTGAATTCGTCCTCATCCTAAACGAGCTATTTCCCTCCATTCTTTATTTTCATGGTCTCCATCGTTTTCTTCTTTTTTTTTCTCCTCGTCCTCTTTCCCCCCTTGTCTCCTCGTCCTCCTCTCCATTCAGTTTCTTTCCTCCTCCTCTCTCCTCTCTCCTCTCTCCTCTCTCCTCTCTCCTCTCTCCTCTCTCCTCTCTCCTCTCTCCTCCTCCCCGTCTTCTCCTCCTCCTCTCCTCTCTCCTCCTCAATCATCGTCTGTCTTGGTGTGCTTCCTTTCTAACGGAAGTAGATAACCAAGGACAAGCTTCTTGTTGGACATGCCATACACAACGATCTCAAGGTGAAGCAAAAGCAGAAGAAGCTTGAGGGAGCTGCCGACGCTTTGTTTGCACATCATCATCATCCTTGTCATCATCGTCATTCATCGATATCATCTCTACCACCACCACCACCAAAATCACTTTTAACTAGCATTCATGCAGGTCCTTCTGATGTCGCATCCAAAGCATCTCATTCGCGACACATCAACGTTCCGAGCATATCAGGTCTGATCGACGGGAAATCCTTCACCCTTGATGTTTGCAAAATGCAGACTGTCGACAAGAAAGCAAGAAAGTTGCAGAAACTATCAGAAGAAGTTTTGGGGATGGAGATTCAAGTGAGTTCACTTCGATTCAAGTTGTGTTGGTTGATGTCCCGATCTTCATAGAGTGGCGAGCATTCATCTTTAGAAGATGCAAGGGCCACTTTGTTTTTGTACAAACATTCAAGGTGAGAGCAGCGATAGTTTGAGATTTGTGAGCGTGATTTGATATCTCAGCAACGTTTGGGAGAAGGAGCTCAACACCAAGAATGCGAAACTGATGAAGAAGGGCAAGGGTCAGGGCAAGAAATAGTCCCCTTCAGCTGTAAACATACACTTTCAATCAAACAATTACTACGGACTCTCTCTCCTGCCCTCGTCCTGGTTTTTGTCCTACAAACGTCCCCCCCTCTCTGTCCCTCGTGCTGCTGGAGCTGGAGCTGGAGCTGGAGCTGGAGCTGTAGCTGTAGCTGGTTCTGTTCTTCTCCTCCTTGTCTTGTCCGGCTTTTCCTTCATACGGTTGAGCTACCCATCTTGGAGGGCGGACAGCCCGGCGGTTTGCAGAGAACAATCACAGGTTGCTCGTAGTTTCTTCACATCATGTCAGACATACACAAGAAGCAACAAGGACATGGACCTTCTCTTCTGATCTGCACAATCTCCGTTCATCCCATCTCCACCAGCGAGGGAGAACAAGTCCTCAAGCTTCAGATCTTGTCGACTTCCAAACAACCCGACCACTTCAAAATTCCTTGTCTGGTACAAATGTCAGATAATATCTGCCGTCGTAGAAATCATCATCGTCATCGTCATCGTCATCGTCATCGTCATCATCATCATCTTCTTCTTCTTCTTCTTCTGCAT